TTTATGCAAAGGTTTCTTTTTTCTTAGAAGAGTTTTGGTAGTTTGTTAACTTGTTTTTGTGAAATTTGATGTTTTTCTTTAAATCTAATTTTGGTAAAAAGGATTAGCGGAGAGAGTATGGAAAGACTGCGAATTTTAAATTTTTAATCTGACTCTTTTATAATATCTCTTTAGCAATATTTGATAAAGTAATAAAATTAATAAAAGTGTAAAAAAAAAAAAAAACAATAAAACAATAATAAACAATAATATATGAGACCCCATAGCAAAAAGAGGGGATAGATCAAAAAAATTTTTTTTAAAAAAATTCAATATCTTGAAGAATTAGATTGATTAGAATAAAATTATCATAAGAACAAATTTTTGCCTATCTTCTTTTGCTGTGAGGGTCCTATATATAACTAGAGTTAAAGTCTCATAGTCTAGTAGTCTAGGCACCTAACTCTCTACAGACGAGGTTGATGCTTCAATTACAGCTAGTAGTAATTAATTTAATTAATTATCTCTGTAATCTTCAGAAGCTTTCGAATGTGAAACCCTGTGGTGATAAGACCATGTGATATATATATTTGGTCTATAAAAAATTCTTAGAAGGAGCCCTGAGCTATAGAGAAGACTAGGCACTGTGTGTGACATAAGTCACAGAAGGTTTACTGCAGAAGGCTATACGTGTGAATCCACAATTGACAAAGTAGTACCAACAACCCTAAGGTGGCATTGGAATCTTGATTGGGAGGATAGCTATATGCAGTATTTTTATAAGTAGTGAGAGAAGTGGTGAACATAGTAAAAGGCTGTGGTAAGAGGATGGCTTTACAAAATATAGAACACCTCTGGTGCAAGAAACCCCAAAAAGTATTGAAGCAAGTGATTTGGTGATATGAAAATAAAAACGGCCAGAAAGTAATGTGTCGCACAATCTATATGGAAGTCAATAACGAAATATAGCAAAAGCACAGATCCCAGGTCACTGGCTTGTAACAGTGATTAAATGAGATATATAACTCCTGTTCTAAGGATCTAGACTTCTGTAATACCATACCAATAGGGAGTACTATAAAAGGAATAGTAGCCTAATTTGGTGAAATATAATGTGAATATCTGGATAGATGTGAAATAACATTCTAGCTTGGCACAGACAACTGTTGAGATATGGCTAGGCCTTTAAAGTATCTCTCCAGAGACACCAAAATGGAAGTATGAAGAGCGTCTACTTGAAAGACACCAATTTGGAAGTAATATAAAAACTGAATTAGAAGTAATGTGATAAGTGATAAGAGGTAAAAGTTAGTTGGTAGACATTGTATAGTAGTATATAAGCAGGATATATATAATAAAAATAGGTTCAGGTTTGGAGACCATCTAGTGAGTTTGAAACTGGTCTGTTGTAGGATAAGATAGTTAATAAAAAGATAAAATCTCACATAGCAGGTTATATATAAGTACTCAAGTTAGTAACTAGATGAGCTAATACTATATATACATTAGATAGTTATAACTATACTCATGATATTTGTAATCAAAAATTATCTAAGTGTAAATCTAATAAATAGTAGAGACAAGACTGCTGAATTAAAAAATATATTTATATAACTAAAATCCTAACAAATATTTACATATTTAAATATAATTAAACAAAGCAAATTTTTGAAAAAAAATAAATAAATAAATAAATAAATAAAGAATCAAATAACAAACAAAATAAATAGTACTGATAATGCCAAAATCGAATTTATCAAAAAGTAACTTGGAAAAGATTTGTTATAGTTTAGAGTTGTCTTTGGATAGTGTTAAAGCAAACTTAATTCAGAAGCTAAGGTCTTATTCGAATATAACTATTAAAAGTAATGAAGCTTGTGCAAAAAACATAAATTTATTAATTGGTTAATATTTGGCCAAATTAGATACAATGTGTAAAAACTCTGAAATCAATACACTAAAAAATTGTGTATAGCAAATGAGAAAAAATATTTTGAAAGAACCATTGTTGAATACTTACTGGGATGTAACAAATCAGCAAGAGCAATTAGATTTTACACCAACACAAGAAACAAGTAATCAGTTATGTAAAAATACCACAAAACAAAACAAGTAGCGATTACAAGAAGATATCAGTGATAATTAAGATAACTTTCTTAAAAAGTTATTAGTTTCAAAGTTTAAAAATTTAAGAGATATGATAGCAGATTTTAACTATAAATTGAATTCTGTAGTAACTCAGATAAATAAGATAGAAATAAATAAGTCCTAACCAAGTTATAAGTTCAATAAATTATGAAATCAACATAAGTATGATATATTAGATACAATTGGTATTAGACTCGCAAGATACAACAAATGTTATAAGTTATATAACTAGTATATGAGAGTTTGTAGCAGATAGATTGATTACTTTATAGATTGCAGAAGGGTTTAGTTAGGATATAGTGATAGCTTTGCCAAATATACAGTATAAATTACTAAAAGAAAAAGAATTATTAATTGAAGACACACAAGAATAAAAAAAGAAAACTTATAGTTCAAAAAAAAGAACTATCTAGCCTTACTAGCAGGGTAATTAATATAGTTAAAATTAAAATACTTTATTATCTAAATATCAAGCAAGCTTAGAACAGTTTTTTTGAACAGAGTTTCAAAACTATAATTGGGAATTCAGTACAAATAATAGGTGTTATACCTGTAGTAGTATAGGCTATTACACAAATGCATACCTATTCGACCTATTCCAAAGCCCAGGTTAAGAAAGAGGGTTTGGATCCAAGTCAAGAAGTTATATGACTTATAGAAATAGGTATTTGTGATCAAGTGAAGAAAATAAGTATGATTAACTACACTTGAACATAGCAATTGATACTAGTTGTAGGATGGATATACTAGAAAGAACATGTAAATTATTAGAAACAAAAAATACAAGCTCCAAAGTTGGTATTAAGTTGGTTAGAAAATTGCATACTATTATATTTGAGGGGTTGCTAAATTTAATGAAACAATTAGATTTGCCCCAATATATATTAATGTGAGATCAGACATTATAGATAAAATGAAAATTCAAAAATTATTAGAAACAAAAGCAATAGTGTTAGTTACAGATTCTCAAAACTGACTATCACATTTACTCAAAGTAAGTTCAATGCTTTTAATACCAAAACTCGAGCTAAAAAATAGCATCTGATTATAGACTTGAGGTGCTTAAACAAAACACTTCTGGAAAAATCTTTCAGGTTCGAAGGATTCAAGATATTCTTGAAAATGATAAAGAAAAATTGGTGGATAATAGTATTGGATTTAAAGAAAGAATATCATCATGTTTTAATGGATCAGAAAGCGCAAAAGTTATTGGAGTTTAAGATAGAACAAAATGGTATCACTATCGGATATTACCTTTTGGTCTAAGCTTGGCTATATAGATTTTTGCCAAAATAATGAAACCATTAATAGAGTATTCGAGATTATTGATAATTTTTTGAACAATCATCTTGATGATATTTGGATAATACACTGTGCAAAGAGACACTAATTTATATAAGAGATTTAGTGATTTTTAGAATTTAAAAAATTGTGGTTTTGTTCTATTTAAAAAGAGTTGCCCAGAATTTACCTTCAACCCGAAGTATTATAGCCTAATATTAAATACAAGAACTAGTCATATAATTGTACTAGAATTCAAAATAAACAAAACATTGAAAGGTTTGCAAAACCTTCTTTCGTGAAACCCTTTGTTAACTTGGCATCTGTTGGCGTTTATCAGCAGTTGCTGGGCAAATAATAAGTTTAGGCCAAGCCTTTATATATGAAAACTTATTGCTTAGAGTTTTACTCAATAATAAATATAAAAAATCAAAGAAAACAGGAGTAAAACAATCCAGTAGAATTGGCAGATTAGGCTATGGTGAATATAAAATAGTAGTTGCAGGAAAACTTAGTAAAAAAAATGATCGTTGGGCTTGAAAACTCTTTCAGATAGTTTTAGTTTATATTGATGCTTTGACTACAAGGTGGTCAGCAACTCTAGAAAAAAAAAGGCTTTCAGAAACTAGAAATATTGTTATAGGCATATAGATATTACTTTTCTTGAAGCAATAGCAACATTATTAGGTTTTGTAACAAGGTTACAAATTATATCCCAGCGATCAATCAGGTTGTAATAGTGTAGGGGCACCAATATGCAGGGATTGTTGATCAATCATAACCTGGTGGTTAAATATAGTAATTAGTTTGTAATCGAGTAAGCTGCATAAAGAATACTTATTGAACTATAGTACAATTACGATCGTCAATTGTAATCATACCTGGAAAAATTAAACAATGCAATTATGCGAGGCTATAGTTAAGCGAATTAATTAGTAATTTGTATAAACAATATAGTCACAATTATGTAGTTAGTAAATTATATTGTATTGTATAAAAGAAAAATATATAATTAATAAAGAGGAAAAAACTTTCCTTTGAATGTGATAATTAAAGAAGTAACGGCAGATTACATTTAGTAGCAGCAGATACATTTTATGATAATTTATAAACTGACTTTTGTTTTTTCAGTATAATAATTAAAAAAAAAAAAAAAAAAAACACATATACATCTTCGATCTTAAAAGAACTAATAAGCCATGTTGCAACAGCAGTTCAACGAGTTTGTTGAAAAGTTTTTGCTAAAACAGGAAGCCATTAATACTCAACTTGTCCAGATTTTGGAAATCTAACAAAAGTGTAAACAGGAAGCAATGAATAAACAAGCTTCTGCACATGAACCTTCTCAAGCTAAAGGGCTTTTAGTCCAGTTACCGATATTTTATGAAGAGGAAAATGAAAATGTTATAACTTGGCTACTCCAAGTCGACATATTATTCAAAGCATAAAGAATTGTAGAAGAAGAATTATATTATTATGGGCTTAAAGGATGCAACGCTTCAATGGTACTTAAACATGCTACAAGCCCATGAAGAGCAGAAGCTATTTGAAAACTGGAACAGTTTTAGTACAGAAATTAAGAAGCATTCCAACTTCCACAATACTAGAAATATTTGAGGAAGCAGCTATACAATATAAATCAAACCTTATCGGTGCTAGAGTATACCTCAAGGTTTAGAAATATCCTTGGGCAGGTGAAAAGTATGGATGAAGCTGATAAAATCCTTTATTTTACAGAAGAACTTAAGGCTGCCACGAAGGCAGAAGTTAATTATCGGTCACCGGAAAGCCTAAAAGAGGCAATTCGTATAGCTACTATGTATAACACTACAATATATAGCAGTAGTAGTGTGAAACACCAAGTAATGGAAGAAGTTAAAAGTAGTATGCCAAAAATGCATGATTCGGGCAATAGTAATGTAGTCCCGATAGAACTTGATAAAGCAGAAGTAAAGAAGTTTCAAGAGTATAAAGATAAACGAAAATTTACTTAAAACAAAAATAATACAATCAAGAAAAAGGAATATAGACAGAAAAGCTTGTACTTCAAATGTGGTAAGAAAGGCCATATTGCAAAAATGTGCTTTAACAAATCTATATTAGATCTTAGCACTTTGGCAAATATGCTCGATGAAACTAAATGAGTAAGTGTTATAGAACTAGGATTAGTTGGTGGAAAACAAGAAAAGCTCTTAAGAGTAGAAGGAAAAGTTTGTGGAAAAGAAGCCCTAATCTTGATAGATTCTGGTGCTTCTAAGGATTTCATCAACAAACAATTTGTAAAAAAACACCAATTAACAGTTCATAGTGATGCTAAAGAAAAAAATAGACTAAAAATGAAAGTCTTACTCTTCCAAAAGTATGACATAATTTTAGAAAAACCTTGGTTGTACAATCATAACCCTAGAATTAACTAGAAAGAAAATAAAGTTTTACTATAGAAGAATAATAGAGCCTATAAAATTAGCACTAGAGCTGATGAAAAGCAGATAGAGCTTGCTACAACAATGGTTTCAAGGCAGTAGTTAGTAAAAGACATTAAACAGAAAGCAGAGTTGTTTGTAGTACTAGCTGCAACAAAATCAATATCAGGAAATGATAAAAAAACTGTTATTCCAAATTTTTAAAAGATGTAGTTAATGGGTATCAAGATGTTTTTCCAGATGAATTGCCAAATAAGTTGCTACCAAACCAAAACATTGACTATGAAATTTTTCTGCAAAAAGATGTAGCCTACCATTCAGGCCTATTTACAGATTATCATTTTATGAGCTAAGGGAACTTAAGAAACAGTTAGCTGAAAATATTAAGAAAGGAATAATTTGCCCTAGCTCATCACCTTATGAAGCCCCAGTGCTGTTCATAGCAAAGAAAAATGGTACTCTCCATATGTGCATAGACTACAGAGTATTAAACAAGATTACAATTAAAAACTGATACCTATTGCCTTATATCAACAATCTCCTGAACCAACTCACAGGTGCTAGCTATTTCAGTAAAATTGATTTATACTCAGGATATCACCAATTGTGTATTAAGGAAGAAGATATCTCAAAAACAATATTTCAAACTCACTATAGCCATTATAAATTCCTTGTGATGGCATTTGGTTTAACAAACACCCCAGCCTCCTTTAGCACCTAATAAATAATATATTTCGTGACTTCTTAAACAAATTTGTTATTATATATCTTGACAATATTCTGGTATATAGTAAGTCGCAAGAGGAACACATGCAGCATGTGAATATGGTATTAAGAAAGCTTTAGGAAAACCAATTATATGGGAAAATGGAGAAATGTGAGTTCGGAAAAGGTAAAATTGAATTTTTGGAATATATTGTATCATCAGAAGGACTTGCAACCAATTTGAAGAAGCTAGAAGCTATTAAGACGTAGACTGTACCTAAAAATATACATGAGCTTCACTCATTTTTAGGACTTGTAAATTTTTATAGAAAATTCATACTTGGCAGCTCTAAAATAGCCATGCCTCTTACAAGTCTTTTGTATAAAAGCCAACTTTACGAATGGAAGGCCAAACAAGATTAATCATTTAATGAATTGAAAAGGGCACTTATTGTTGCTCCAGTGCTAGCTATACTTAACTTGGAAAAACTATTTATAGTTACGACTAACACATCTGATTTTGCTGTTGGAGCCATATTAAATCAAGACCAAGGAAAGGGTAAGCAACCCGTGGTATATAAATCTCGAAAGATAACACCTGCAGAAGTTAACTATCCAATTTATGAGAAAGAACTTTTAGCTATAATACATGTGCTAAAAGTATGGAAAGTTTATTTGGAGAGTCAACCTTTTATGATTATTACTGATTATGTGTTACTTGAGTTTATAAACTCTTAGTCAAAATTGTTATGACAACAAGCTAGGTAGGTAGAAATCTTGCAATCTTATAATTTTAAAATTAAATATAGGCCAGGAAAAGATAATGTAGTTGCTGATGCTCTCTCACAAAAGCCTGAAATTAATACAATATTAACCATATATATGGACTCCAAATTTTATACAACAATCAGGAAAGAATATAGTAAAAATAAATACTTGGTAAAATTGATTAATGCTCTAAACAAGCCAGATAGCAGTGATACTAAGCAACTGAAGCAGCAAGTATTTTGATATCAACTTGAAGAAAATGGGTTGTTGTATCTAGTAGAAGATTTAGAAAATTCCTGACTATGTATATCACACGCATCGAAACTAAAAGTAGAGATACTTTATGAACATCATGATATTAACGGCCACCCAGGTGTGGACCGCACATATAGCAGTTTACAACAATTATACTATTAGAAAAGAATAGGCAGAAACATAAAGAAATATATTAGTAGCTATGAAAGCTACCAAAGAAATAAAGCACCGAATAAGGTGCCCATTGGACTACTACAACTATTGACTATTCTGAAACAACCTTGGAAGCAAGTCACAATGGATTTTATAACACACTTGCCAGTCACAGCAGAAGGTTATGACGCCATTATAGTGGTAGTTGATTATTTCAGTAAAAGAGCACATTTCATTCCTACTCATTTAACTATTACTGCACCAGAGGTAGTGAAACTATACTTTAAAGAAATATTCAAAAATTACAGGATGTCACGTGATATCATGTCCAATTGAGACCCGAAGTTTGTAAGTAATTTTGGAAGAAATTGTTTGAACTACTAGAAACAAAGCTATATATGTTTTTAGCTGCACATTCTCAGACGGATAGGCAAACAGAATGCACAAATAGAATACTGGAGAATATATTATGGGTCTATATTAATTACAGGCAAGATAATTAGAACTAGCTGTTACTAGCCGTGAAATTTGCATATAACAATGCCCAACAGTCATTGATAGGCTTTATCCTGTTCCAATTAGATTATAATAATCATCTTATAACACTAAGTGCTATAGTAGCCAAAGTGTTAAATAGAACAAAGGTAAAGGCAGCATATGACTTATACGAATATTGGGCTGTAACTATAAAAATGGCAAGAGATATATTAGTAGCAGCTCAAGAAAGGCAGGCAAAATATTATAATAAAGGCTATAGAAATGTGAAATTGCAAAAAGGTGAGCAAGTAATGCTTTCTACACGGTACCTTATGCCAGTAGTGGATTCAAAAAGAATCTCTAGGAAACTGATAGCAAAATTTATTGGACCATATAAAATTGAAAAGAAAATATCCACTACAGCATATAAACTTTTATTGCCGCTCCAACTAAAAATTTATCCAGTATTCTATATCTCATTGTTAAAGCTATATATGCTTGATGAGTTTGAAGAAAGAAACAAATTGTTTCCACCTTCAGAATTTCTTGATAACTTGAATGCAGAACCAGAATTTGAAGTTGAAGAAGTCTTTGACAAACAAACATACTACCGAAAGCCCCAGTATCTGATTAAATGGAAAAGTTAGGGCACTGACAGATATTATATAATATTCTAGAGGAGAGGTCAGCCAGATATCTTATGTTATATATATATATATATATATATATATATATTTTAAAGTAAGATCTTGATTTATT